AATAATAATAATAATAATAATAATTATAATAATCTCGATCAATGCTGGATCGACACCCGATTGACCGTGGGTTGATAGTTGGTCAAGTGTTGACTGATTCATATGTATCGATCAATATGTGTGTCTGCGAAAATTGGTTGACCCTTGACTGCCTGTTGACTGAGATGTTGATTGAGTGTTGACCTGCTATTGATTGAGATGCCAATCTTGAGAGTCTATCAAGGTTATCGATTGATACTTGACTGCGGATGCCTTTAGTACACATGATCCGCAATTTTAACGTAAATGATGCCACATATCCCCAGTTTTACTGTATCAGTCAAGACCAAAAGAGGACATCCTCCACCTGTGTGGGACCTGTGAGCCTCAGGGCAGACTCGAAATTCTCGGAATTTTTGGTTGAATGGAAAGCGCCCACTGTCCAGCAAGTAAAATGGTGTTCTTTATACCACATAATGAATTCTTTATTGGCTGAGTTTGTTTTGTCAAGATAGTGGATACTGCCCTTGTTCTTTCCTTTGTGTGATTGCGAACACACAAAAAATAACTAAGTCCTTGGCCAATGAATATGCAGTCATTTTGACTTCTTTTGGTCAATATATATGTAACGCTTATAAAGTTTGCTAAATGTGTCGATACAGTCGATACAAACAGGGCTTTAATGTAAAGATTGATTAGAGAGTTGAATGCTTGAGGAATGTCCTAAAATTGGCAAATCCCACTCACCTAATTAGCAGAACAACCGGAGATCGACTTGAAGTTGCAGTTGCTTTGACTTCCAACACAGGGGGCCAAAAAATGGCCTCACAACTAGCAAAAGATCGCTACGTTAAAATGTAGGGACAGGCATTCACCTTATCGTTGCCTAGAAAATACACAAAGGGTTGAAAATTTATCAAAGAACAAACCTCTGGTAGGCAGCGAGCGATCGCGTGGAATCTTGGGACTTGTGCTGATGTGGTAAGACCCAGGAGGGGAGGGAGGAAAGGATTACAGCTGTGAAACCCCTAAAATACCCAACGTGTAATAATTGTACCAACAAAATATAGTGTCCGGTGAATCGGCCTTATAAAGAAAAAACCACAATAATATCTTGTTAGTTCCTACTTTTATCTTTGCTTTGACTCACATACCCACACCGCCACGGGGGCCCCGCCTCCTACCCGACCCGTCAGGTTGCAGTCCTTGGAAGCCTTAATGATTTCATCAGGATGTCTTCTTCACAACTTGACCGGCCTGTTGTGTCTACGGACTGGCTGAATAAAGAACTCAAAAACACCAAAGGTGGCTTGGCAGTCCTAGACACCACATGGTTCAGTGATAAGGATGCTTGCAGTGGTTTCTCAAAGTAAGGCATCTTAAGTTTATTGCTTTGCTTGATCGATATAAAGATGTTTGGAAACTTTCGATTTCCAGCGATCGATTTAGGTTTGACGGCATGCATGAAGGTGCAAGGTCTTTATGAGCTTAAATAAATCAGTCCTTCAGATAAATAAGATCTCACAGGTAAGCTGTTACTACTGCTGCTATTGCGCTACAAACTGGACCTCTAGAGAAGCGAGGAACCCTTTTTTGTGCATTATGGGGTAAACAGTTTTTATGATATTCATGAAAAATCTTATAATGTAAGCGTACATCAATCATTGCACAATAAGTTTTGATTAAAAAAGCAACAATAACAACAAAACAAGAAATCGAAAAATAAACAAACAAACAACAACATTCCCCACATGCCACAACAACAAAAAACCTGCAGGGGCTTAATATTATAAAGTGGAAATGTTAAATCCGTTTGAAGTTAGATCAGGGCAAGAAATGATAAATATGAGCAAAGCTGCCTTGTGTCCATGCTTCTTGTTCAGTTACTTCAAGAGTGGGAACTATCTGAGGGGGAGGCTGGGAAAAAAAACATTTACCATAGAGAATTGGAATAATTAATGATAATGCATAGCCATGATTTCTTTCAGGAAACATATCATCCGTGCTTCATATATGGACATGTTCTTTGGAGTGGAGAATACTCCCTTATATCCTAGGAATATTCCAGATGTCTCAACATTTCAAATGAATGCCAGAGGCAGTGCAGTGAATAACAGAGACCATGTTGTCATTTATGAAAACACAGGAAGGTTTGGATACTTCATGGGTGCAAGAGCTTGGTGGATGTTCAAGGTCTGTTCATAATAACTTGGATATCATCACTCTAATCACCATCTTTCCCTTCTGAGTCACTAAGCTGCATATAGACCTGGGGTTGGGGTGGTTTTTGCACTCTAGTCTTGAATTGGGTATGTTTTTAAGACACTACTTTGACTACTTTTTCATCAAATTTATCGATAAACAAATTAAAGCCCTTCACAAATTATGTTTACAGCAATTTAACATTGGTCTGAACAAGGAAACTAATTATGAGGCAGGTCTGAAACAGGGTTTTGATTTAAGGTTCAGGTCATAAATGGGATATCAAATTTTTGGTCAGGTCATAAATAGGGTAAGGAAAATTGCAGATTTTGGTCATAAATGGGGTAAGGGTTTTGGGAAGCAGGCCGCACACCTCCACCCGATTTTTCTGGGAGTACCCACCCTGGACATGTAGGGCATGAACAAACTAAGGTCTTCTAGTCTGGCCTATTCTTGGCTTCTGTCACTACATGCACCGTACTCCAATTTTAATCTCTTTGATAAGTCAAAAATTTTGTTGACTCTGGCCTGCTTTTTTTCTAATTTCCCTCATTTTCACAGCTGTTTGGTCATGAAAATGTTTCAGTGCTGGATGGAGGACTGGAGAGGTGGACTGCTGATGGCTATGAAACAACAGATATGATGATCAAAAAACGGGTGTGTGCTGCATTCAGACTACGATGCAATGTTCCTCTTTCTGGTTCTCTTATGTGCTATCAAGTGCTGTTTCACTTCTCAAAAGGTTTCACTTTCTTTGAAGACTTTAGTAAGTCCTCTGACTCATACTTTTTGGTTTCTGTTGTACTTCTTTGTTTAGCCGGATGGGGTAGCTTGTCTTTTTGTAATGCTCTTACTTTATGTGGACTTGAGACTGGCAAGATGGGACCAAAAGAATCACCTCTAAGGAGTTAGTTGCTGCATTTATCATCATAATGGCCAAGTTATTTGTTTTTACATTACAGGAAGGAGATTTTACAGCAAAGTTCAACCCAAAATGGATCAAAAAGTTTGATGAAATGCAAGAGAATCTTGCATCACGTAAAGCACAAGTTTGCGACAGCCGTCCTCATGCTACTTTTAACCATTCACCAGATGGTACTGTGGAAAAATTATATAAACTTTCCAGCTGTTGAAAGAGTATCAGAATTAATTTCTGAAGTTTCTGATATTAATCAGTTATACAAAAATTTGTTTTCTCAGATCCAAAGTCTGGCCACTACCCAGGTGCAGTAAACATTCCATTTCCAAGCCTGTTTAACCCAGACACCAGGACTCTGAAGACTGTTGACGAGCTCAAGAAAGGTAGGTTGTTCTCAATACAAGGAGCCCACAGCAGAAAATTGACGAAACTTAACTACACAGTCTGTGGAACCCCTTCTCATGGTAACTTACCCCATTAAAT